CCTCTCAACTTGTAAACAGACAAGCGCATTCACCGAATTCTCCCAAATTACAAGAGGAAATCACTTTATGACTTTTCTGATTTGTGCTGGGGAATTGTTTTAGATTTATAATGGTGGAAAGGGATAGTTGTAGTTCATGTTTGATGACAATTAGGGTTCTGAGAGCTTCCCTTGTGGATAAACTGGAAGGACGGATCGACTCTCTGCTAGAGATCTTAGTATGTCGGGACATGTTCACTCGTGATGATCGTGAGGACGTGTTGTGTCACTTGGGGCCTCGAGCAAGAGTAAGAAAGTTACTGGATATTTTGGAGTGTAAAGGTGAGGAAGCAGCAAAACTTTTTCTCTCCATTAGCTGTCATCAACAAGAGGAACAGACGCACTGCAAGGAAGACAACACTGATGAGCCTCAGTCTGTAGGTATGCAATCAAACCATAAGTATGTCATTAGTACATTAATTCTTTAAGTGAAAATTATAGTAATATGAAAATGCTGCTGATTACAATATGTAGAGTACTTGGAATTGCATTGTATTACTCAAGCATATATACATAAACATACATAGTGTTCTTAGGTTACAAACATTGATATAAAGAAGTGTGACAGACATTTCTTTTGCAGAGTACAACAAAGTCAAAGAAAAGCATAAAGGTATCCTGAGGCGAAGGAGTGAGAGCATGCTCTTCTACAACACCCGTCATGGAGAAAAAATCCTGTTTTCTGAACATTATGTCAACCTCCTGTTAGTTGATGGACATCAGGGTTTGGAGATGAAAAGACACGAGGTCCTAACGTTTGGACAAAAGCGACTTTCTTTGCAGCAGAAGTCAGCGCTGCATAAGAAAATCACACCAGCCGAACTTTTTTCAAGTGTAAATGCAAACCGTCCAGTCAGGAAAGTTCTGGTGTCAGGGGTGGCAGGTATTGGAAAAACCATCCTGGTGCAGAAAATGCTGTTTGATTTTGGTAGAAGCAAGGACCATGTGGCATTTGACTTCATCATACACATGACCTTCAGAGACCTGAATCTGATCAACAAACCCACAAACTTCCGGGAGTTGGTCCTGCGAAAAAACAGGCACCTTATAAAAGAACTGGACAACATTTTAGCAAATGACAACAAACTGCTGATCATCTTGGATGGCTTTGACGAGTTCATACACTACAGGAGTTGTGATGTAGACATGTTTGTGACCGAGCCAGATGAAGATGCGGAGGTGGTGGAGGTCTTTGGGAGTCTGCTGCAGGGTGAACTGCTACCCAACGCTTCTGTCATGCTCACAAGTCGACCTGCAGCTATTGACCACATCCCTGTGGGCTGCATTGACCGCTTTGTGCTCATCACTGGCTTCTCCTTGGATGAAGTTCAAGACTTCTTCCTACGTTATTTCCAAGACAGTGCCCTTGCTGACCAAATGTTTGCGGTGGTAACAGCAAATGAACTGATGCTAACACTATGCTACATACCTGCATTTTGCTACATTGTGTGCTGTATCCTCAAAGAAAATAAAGATCTCTCTGGAGCAAGCCCAAAGACCATGACGGACATTTATGTGCAGTATCTAGTGGCTTTGCTCCGGTCTCACGCTCAAGCAAGAGCTGGAATACTTCTTCAAGACCAACAAGTAGAGGCCTTAGAGCAGTTGTCTGATGTAGTGCTGAAGCTGGGCCGACTTGCCTTCCAAAAGCTGATGGAGCATCAAACACTGTTCTACAGCAGCGACCGGGATGTTGCAGCATTAGATGGATGCAGCCTCGTTAGTACCTTTCTTGACAAGACAGTAGCACAAGAGCCTGGCTGCACTGAAGAGGTTTACTCCTTTGCTCACCTCACTGTTCAAGAGTTCTTTGCTGCGGTTTACTGTGCAGTGACCGATCAGCCTTTACCTGATGCACTTGAGCACACTGCAAGTCTTGGAGAGGCAACAAACAGTGGGCATTTAGACCTTTTCAACCGCTTCCTGTCTGGAGTCCTCTCTGAACGCAATGCTAATCTTCTGTCAAGGCTGGTGGGGCTGTGTTGCCACCAAGAGAAAGTGCACGCCTATCGTCAGAGGATCATCAGAGAACTTACAGTGCTCTGTGACAATGGGGCCCAGATACTAAATCCTTTACACTGCTTGTTTGAGCAACAGGACCCCTCCTTAGCCCTTGCTGTGCAACCGAAGACACTACGAGTCAATGTTAGTGATGAAACACTCTCCCAGATGGATTACAATGCCATTAAATACTTCCTAAACACCACAAAGGGCAAAATATCAGAGCTGGATCTGACAGGGACCGGAGTAAGCTGTGAGGCACTTAAAGATATTCAACCCCTGCTGCTTAGATGTGAGCGTCTTTGGTAAGTTCCAGGTAAAATTTGCTTTGAGCTCACCTCTCCCTCCCAAGGTTTCTTTGATTCAGTCTGTACTTTTAGGTCACACACACTGCTCTGCATCCATCATATCACAACTCTCTGCTTCTGTCTTCTCTGTTTTTATGAAGTGATCGTGAAGTGGTCAACTTGCTAAGAAATGTACATTACATGGCCTGTGCACTAACGCCGCTATTTCACTTTGAAGGCTTGGAGAAAACAACCTTGATATGGACACAGTTCAGGTCATCGCCGATGTGCTGCAAGTGTCGGACAGTATCACCCACTTAGGGTAGGATGTCTGTTAATACTGTTCTTTGGTTTTCAAAAGAATACAAGAACTAGGTGACAAAAACATACAACCATTTGTTATTAGAGAGTATATGCTAATGAAGACAAAAAGGACCAAGACTACATATGTTTCATGTTTGCTATCCCCAACTATAGAGTTGGATGGTCAAACATTGGTGATGACGAACTACTGGCTCTTTCTAGTGCCATACGGATAAAGAGGAAGCTTCAAGCATTGTGGTAAGAGGCATATAAATGATAATAATGTTACAACATGTCATTTAACTATTTGGGGGAAGTAAAAGTCTGATCAGGCTGAGGATGCCGGAACAGGACTGTCTGACCCAGAAGGATAAATTTGTGTAGAAAATACAGTAGTCCACACTGTCCTGCCCTAAAATGAGTCATACTCTGCTGCAATAAAGAAAGGCCTGATTCAAGGCACGAGGTAGGACTAAATGCAGAATTTAAAAAAGCATTAACTGAGCACCAAGTGCAACTAATTATCTAATCTTTTTCAATCAGCAATCATGTTCACATACTGTAGGGGATATAAATGGTGGACATCTTTTCATGTTTGATATTTTGCTGATTATTCATGGGTAACCTGAGTTCAGGACATAGAACTGTTACCTATGTGCTCCCACAGGATGGAGGGAAACCGAGTGAGCTACAGGGGTCTGCTGTCACTCAGTGACTTGACCCCAAATCCTCTGACTGAAGTTGTGTAAGTGAATGACTTTTTACAGCAAATAACTTTTCTCTATTTATGCAGTTCTATTTATGTTTTAACAGTTTAATTTCTCTGAAGTGTCATTTGATTCCCTCTGCATACAGAGCCGTATGGAATGACCTGACTGACACAGAGTCCTTGTGTACCCAAGCGAGCATCATTGTGAACTTCACAGATGACAGTATGTGGGAATCCTGGGGGGAATGGGTCGTCAAAAGATGTGAGGTCAGCAGCAATGAGAAGCTATTGACGGTGCTCCATAAAGTGTGCAACATATCGGCCCATTGCTTACAGGCACCGTGGGCAAGGACCTTCTATAAGCAACTAGCACAGCTCATCAAGCACAGGACTGAGTTCTGCACAGAGGAGGATGTGTGCAAGAAGCTCAAAAAGTTTGAGAGAATTTTGAACCTCTGACAGACAAGTCTACACTAATCTCAAGCAATAAGCTATGAGGCCTACATACATATTAAATACATCATTTGTTACTGAATGCTTTTTAGATAAAAGAAATTCTGGGAGACAAGAAGGAAAGAAAACAGTACTGTTAAAGTCAGTTTGATCAGCCTAACATAAGGCAATAAAAATGTCCTAAAAAAAAAATCCTGAAAAAAAGAAAAAAACTGCTTAATTGTGAATTAACTGTTTCACTAAGTGTAAAACAAAATCCCAACTCAGAGGTGAGATTTCTTCTAGTAAGCGTCCCTATGAAACATGTTACACAAAGTGTCTGGCAGAATTAGGAATTCACATTACCTCATGTATTTATGTAATTATTATTTCTTGAATGCATTTATTTATTCTTTTCTCTATTTATGCGATTCTTCATGTATTTTTGTCAACAAATCATATTTTTAACTGTTCAGTTATTTGATTGTATTTTGTCTTAGCTGATTATATTTTTCTTAGTTAATATAGTTTTTTATTGTCAGTGTTGTGATGTTCTTGTTCTTTGCAACACAGTGAGACGCAAAGATTGTCAGCAATATATCAACACTTGATGTAAACACAACAAAATTTAAAAAAGCTTCAGTGGCCCGTACGGGGATCGAACCCGCGACCTTGGCGTTATTAGCACCACGCTCTAACCAACTGAGCTAACCGGCCGATGATGATGAACTTTTAAAGGTCTCAGTGTTAAATGTAAAATAAAGCTGCACGCCATGCCTTTTGTTTCCTTGACGGTCATTGTACCTTTGTTATAATGAAACATACAACATAGGACACGCACATCAAAAAATAAACTTATGCAAGTACCGGAACATTAACAACTTGAAACAAACCAACTAACTAACTGAAAAGAGAAGAAGAAAGTCCACACATCTATACAAGATCCTCGTTAGGCACTGCCAAACGGTGTTAATACAGTGTGCGGACTGTTTTCTGCTTTCAACTTATAATGAACAATAAGTTTTCTTTCAGGATCGCCTTATCACCACCTATGATATAGATAGACGTGTTTTCTGCTTATTTTAATCTTCACTGTCATTGCATCTACTTTTGTGAAGAGCATTTTAAACAAAAGTAGGGCGGATTTATTGTAATTTCTGGGAACAATTGTCAGTCACATGCTGAAATTCTATAATTAGCGTCTAATTTTGAAACACCTCAATGTAGTTCCTGTGTCTGATGACGACTTTATTCTGCGACATGAACGCACCAATGCCGTTGCTAGTTAGCTTCAGTTTTGTGGGGCTTTATTGTGCGCGCGCTGATTATTACACTGCACAGTTTCCTCATCCCAAACGGGGTGAGTTCTCCAAATTATTATATCCGTTGAACATTAAATGGGGTGTTTGACGGGTTTTGAAATGCAGGGGGTGTAGGTCAACTGCAGCTAAAGCCTTTAGCTAACTGTTGTTGAAGTAGCTTAGCTTGTTTGTTTGCCAGCTGTACATTTAGCCCAAAGGTAGTGACGGCTAACAGACAACTGGCTAGATAAGCCTGCACTATTACCTTAGATAAGAGATGCTAAATATGAAGCCGGTAGGGTTTTACCAACTAATATTCTGATTATTTGTTCATACAGTATTTAAAGGGCATGCTTAACATTAACTATGTATCTTTAGGTGGGTGAAGGATGCTTCGTAGTGTTAATAATAGTATGAATTTGATGCCATATTAAGGTAATAATCCAGTAACAACATTACATGGCTCCATGAGATAAACACCAGCAAAAGAAACAGACTAAGGTTAGAAAGTGTGTGTTGCAGTCTCTCCCATAGGATGACTGAAACAGAGAGGGGAGTTGGTGACACTGGTGTTGCAGAAACCAGCGGTAAGAACAGGGACACAGAGAAGAAGAAGAGGTCCCGAGTGAAACAGGTGCTCAGTGATGTGAAGAAGCAGGTGGAGTTCTGGTTCGGAGATGCCAACCTTCACAAAGACCGCTTTCTGAAGAAACTCATTGATGAATCAGGCGATGGATGTAAGGGGCGATCAGTATCCCAGATGCACCACTGAATCTATCACATTACAATACTCTTGTGCTGATGCTTGTAAAGTTTCTTTGTATGCAGGGATACGTTTCATAGGTACCAGGATGAATATCTAATGACCTAGTAAACCTGTCCTTTAATGAATGTGTTAACACTGGATTTTGTACCAAAGCTTTTAACAGAATACATTTAATGTGTCTTAGATGTTGATCTATCTGTGTTGACAAGCTTCAATCGAATGCAAAAGCTGACAACTGACACCAAGCTGATCGCGAGGGCACTGAAAAACTCATCTGTAGTTGAGGTACCGTGAAGTACTTCTTATTTTATGATTCATTTTACAAAGTAACAGTGATAAATCACTTTCACAGTGAAGGTATGATTCTGAAGGTTTTACTTGTGTTTTTCAGGTTAACTTGGAGGGAAATAAAGTTCGGCGTCAGCTCCCAATTGGAGATCCACCAAATGATGTGGACAGCCGTACAGTCTATGTGGTAAAAAGAGATTCAAGTTCTGTTGTTTGATTTTCACAGCAGTGTCTCAAAGCATGTCTTACACTAAGCTGTTTCTGTGGAGAGACAGATGTTGTATGCATACTTAAACTTAGTATTGAATCACAAAATAATACTTTTTTTTTTTTTATACAAGGAACTTCTGCCCAAGGATGTGACCCACAGCTGGATAGAGAGAGTGTTCACGAAGTGTGGCAATGTGGTTTATGTTAGTATCCCCAGATACAAATCTACTGGTGACGCCAAAGGTTTTGCCTTTGTCGAGTTTGAGAAAGAGGAACAAGCACAGAAAGCCATTGAGGTGAAACTCAATATTGAAATTGTATCATTGCCTGAAATATGTGTTAAATTATGTGAATCCATTGTTTGAGGAAGCTCATCGGAGATTTTTGAAAACAGATTGAAACTTGAAATTGAAATTTGAAACAGATGCTGAACAACCCTCCTGAAGATGCTCCCAGGAAGCCAGGGATTTTCCCCAAGACAAAAAGCGGGAAGCCTATTCCTTTGCCAGCCGACAATCCACCAACAGGTACACCGAATTCACATGAACAGAAAAAGAGTTGCATGTGTTTGACAACTCTGAAAGAAATCTGATGGTGGCGTAATGTCAAATATTTGTTGCATTGATTCCTTGACATTCATGCGCTCTAGCTGAAGTAGAAGACAAGAAAAAGAGAAAGAAGCGGAAAAAGAAAGAAGGTACCAAAGTAGCAGCGCCTGCAGAAGAAGCTAGAGAGCAGGTGATGGAAGCAGAGCCGTCAGAGCAAAGAAGTAAGCGCTCAGCAGCGGGGGAGTTGGAGCCAGAGGTTGCCAGCGTTCCCAAGACTCCCGGCAAATTGTCGGAGAAGAAGAGGCGACGGTCGCAGACAGTAGAGGGATCAGAAAGTGAAATTCCACCTAAGATAAGAAAAACCAGTCTAAGTGAATCCGGAGAAAAGGAGAAGGATGTGGCAAAGACTGGTATTTGATCACAATATTTGTTGCTCTTCTCTATTTTGGATCATGATGTTTTGGTTTTGCAGCAGTGAAACTGAGTTTGCTGTTGTGTTAAATTAGTTATTTCTCCTTTTAGATTCCCCCAGTAAAGGCGACACGGAGAAGGCTGCTGAAGAAGGGAAAGAAAATGGAGATGATTCAATAGTTAAAGCAAAGAGGAAGAGAAAAAAGATACACAAGGAGAAGCTGAAAATCGGGGAGGAGGTCATCCCACTCCGGGTCCTTTCAAAGTAAGACCTACATCCCTTTTTATTCTTACATCATCAGGAATGAATAAATAAGTGAAAACCCCTTCAGAACTAATATAACTTTAACAAACTCCTGAACATCCTC